GCATGGGGATCAAAATCACACATTCAGCAGCACTGTAGACGTAAGGATTTTTTGTAAAACAGGCGAGATGGTCCTGCATAATTCCTATAAAAAGGTATGAATGGATTCGTCAAAATATTGTGATCAATCTTAGCCTCTCAAGTAACAGCAACTATCTATAGAGCACCAATATTTCAAGATGTCCATGGGAAATTCTTAAGGGTTAATAAAAGCCATTTCAAGCAGCCTTATAAAAATGATTTATGAATTTTCTTAATGTTTGTTGCACATTGTTGCACAAAGAATAGCCTTGCAAATCAAAGACCTTTGCAAAAGAAATTTCATTAGGAAAAAGTCACCTGATGATATTACTACAGATGACCTGGAGTCAAATCCATATTGATTGAAAAAATGTCACTGTAATTGCAGTAATTTGGGCATTTTCATGTCATTAAATGTAATCAAGGGGTCTCTAAGGGTGGTGGCAGATACCCGTAAAAGATCTCTCAGTCATTTTAACCATACTGGTAACTAAATTTCAATGTACCTATCCCACATTAAGTCTGTGAGACTCCTTGCCTTTAAAGGTGTCTTGATCATACTGTAAGTTTATTTACTTTCATGCTGCCCAACAGGATAATTTAGGCCACACCAATTTAATTTCTTGGTTAACGGATTTGTCTAGAAAAATAATGGAGCGGGCGGGCGAAAAAAAAATAAAAATAAAAACAGGCCTAGGCATCCTATTATGGCCCAAAATGGTAAGATAGGAGCCATGAAGTCAACACACCAGGCTGGTGCAAAATGTAAACAAAGAATTTTGAACTTTTAATGATACTACTGCATTGAAAGATGGAATGACTGTAACAAGTAGTAAGAAAAGGACTGTTTTCAACTGTTCAGGGCAAAGGATGTGCATTTTGCAGTTGATTCTGAATTTTTATTTTTATTTGCAAATCAGAAAAAAATGAAGCGGCGAATCCGTTAACCAAGAAATTAAATTGGTGTGGCCTTACATGTAGGTTAAAATATGTGGTCTATTGACTATGCTGTAACAGTTACTGCTCTACTAATTACAGGTAGAAATTGGTGGATGAGAATATCATTCATCGTATTATATGCTGGGAATTATGTTGGGTTTGAAGCACTTCTCCCAGCCACTTTCTATCCAGTAAATGTTTGGTCCTATGGCTAAAGCTGCTTTTCAAGAATACAGATTTGGCGTTACCTTACTGTGAAACTGCTCCACAGGGTAGGATGGTAAGTAGCAATAAAAGACAGGTGCACATAAAGGGCTCCATCTTAAACCTGCGCATAGCAGAAAGGTCACACTCCGGGTCTTTTGTTTCCATAAAACACATCTACGTTTAGTGGGAAATACCATTGTCGACTTAACAGGTGATATATACTAATAACTACAAGATGTTGACTGAAGACCCAAGTAAACCTGCAAAAAGAAAAGATATTGGTCTTAATTTCTCTAAGGAATCATCTTCATCTTTCTGGATACCCCTGGTTTCCTTCTTGTCATCCACACGGCCAGCTACAGTAAATTCATTTATTTTCACAAGGACTTAATTTTGTGGTACAAGGGGAAAGGAGGTTTTTACAGTGTTTTGAGTTCCTGGTTTAAATAATTCTACAGTACTGTAGTAATGCAATGGAGATGCCTATTGTGGATTTACACTAATTTCTTTGAGGGAATGGACTAATTGTCCTTTGTCAATGATTGTAGCATATTGTAGCAGTGATATTTTTCCATTTCCAAGTGTTTCCAATTCTTACAAAGTTCCTGGAAAGATTTTAAGGCCTCAATTTCCTAGTAATTCCAGATCAAAGGAGCTTGAGGTCCTCTATAATACCTTAAGGAGCCTTCATGTAGTGCACTACATAGTCACTACCTGTAGACAAAAATCTGGAAAAAATCCATGTCTAGCAACTCCTAAAATTTTAATGATATTGCTGCAGCATGAAAGTAAGTTATTACATCAAGGGCAATCAAAGGGGAATCGACATTAGAAGCCTTTACTTTCTATACATTTTCCAGGAATTTCATACTAATCATACAATGTAGCACTTACATGTAGAGTACCATTCAAATCTGTCTACTTTTCAGATAAACTTGCTTTGGGGAAAATCAAGATTTGCACAATATTCTACATACCCTTGAAAATTAGTGCCAATTCCTATGATTCATAGACATTTTGACAAGCACTCAAAAACTTCAATCGTTATGTTTTATATGGCAGCACAAAAGCAAAATGGAAGAAAAAATAATCAATAATTTTGACACCAGCTCTCCTGAAAGGAGGGTAACTAGTGAAAAATAGTCAAACAACAGAATCGTACAATTTGATTTACAGGGGTGAAGGGGTCACTACCATAGGTCAACGAGAGGTCACCCTCGGACTTAATGGTGCTTGGAAGTTCCCCTATGTACGTGACAGTCATACAGAATGGATGTAATAACCAACACAAAGCCACTTATTCCGTGAAAAATGGTCGGTCCCCTGGCAGAGCCAGTAAGCTGGGTTATTGCTGACTCAGCGGCCCTAATGAAGAGGGAAACCAGGGGTCGTGTTTAATGGTGCGGACTTGCAGGACTGCCGCCATTAGTTTCCCACATGGAGACCAAACATGGGTCAACTGTGTACATATGCAAAGGTCAGTTGTAAAGGTCAGCCCCGCATGATGTGATATAATACTCCAGGTCATAAAGATGTCTTCAGGAGCAGCCTCTCCCAGGGCATGCTGGGCCTTTCTCATGGAGAAGGGAAGGGCGGAGGGAGGTTACGTTCATAAAAGGATGGATGTTAAGTATCGTCACTTCAAAATTACATGACATAAATCTGAATATCATCATACATCACTTAAATATTGGGCTGCAGTTAAAATCAGATTTTATTCATAATATGCAGATTTGTGTCATGTCATATAAAATTTCATTCTACATGAATTCAAATCATTCAAGCACCACACTTTATCAGAAAGAGTAGGGGATCAAACCTTACAGTCAAGTCTTACGCAGCTTGTACTTATTGTGCAAAACTAGTGAGTTATGCCTAAAGGCAGTTTACTGATTATGCGAAACAAACAAAAAGCATGAATGTAGATCTATAGTGCGGAGGAACTTTGCCTGCCAGTCAAGTGCAATTGGTGCCCTCCAGATCAAACACAACAGGAAGCACAGAGGAAACAGTATGTTTCCCCTCAGAGGAAGAACAAATATAGCACATCAGGGCAAGGCTTCAACAGTGACTTTTTTTGGAAAGGTTACGCAGGTGGTGGAACCAAATTGAAAGCTTTTGTTGTTTCTGCTGCATGTTATGCAATAGTCTATATGCACCGATTTTGTATTGTCTACAATGTAAGTCTGGCAGTGGAGGTGTAAAATTGAAGGAAGAGAATCACAACCATCTCTGTATTTGCAGTAACTGTAAAACTTCCACATGTGCCTGTCATCCCAGGGCCATCAACACCTTGAACTGCCAAAAAAGGCTACTATTTTGCTATATGTTGAACTTTTTCAATACACTCAAGAGTCACACGAAAAACTATATTGTTCTGATTCCTTCTAAAGACAGTCCAAACTTTTCACAACCCTGAAAGTAATTAGCCAAAGGACTCCTCGTGAGATAGCGCTAAAGTATGGCCCTATTTAGGCATTCCTTCCCCCCACAGAACATCATTAACAGAATGTCTATGGGGGTATTGATCAACCTGGTGGTGTTGAACACCCAATACGCCATAATTGAACACCTAATATCCTGTGGCCAATTGCCCGTGACTGGACGGTAAATCAATCATGCTGGTACATCCGGGTGATCTTCCAGTCAGACTGGTATGGGGTGTTTGGACCAAACTGTGCGCTTGAATCTGTGGTGTGCAATATAACTTCTGTATACTGCTGCATATCTGTCATAGTAAACTACATGTAACAGCATCAAGCATTCAAGGGTATACATCCACACGTATACATGTAACTATAATATTTATGTACTGTCATGACTCTAAAGTGTGTATTAAACACTGCTCATAACCTTGTTCTGAGATGTCACTACATTTTGTAGCAATGACTTTACTACTTGACACTTTTCAGAAGTATTCAGGGTTTAAAAAACATTCATGCACATTTCTTTTTACATGGATCCCATGGATGGATTACAATCCAACTGAGTTGATCTGACTTACCTACCATTCTGAAGTCTTGGCATACATTCCAGACTTACTGTACGTATGAATTAATTTACTTTCATGATGGATATATTTAAAAATAGGAAAGCTTTCGAAGTATTTCAAATTTGCATTTGAAACACTTCTGTAGTACAGTAGTCATAAATGGAGCCATATTCAGTGTGTCATGAAAATACAACCACTGCAAAAACTTCCAGACCTACAGTATTCAGGTTGTAGCATCCTCCATGCCACCCAACACTTGTTAGTCTATCACTATCACAAAATCCCCATCCAGTAGGAACAGCTAATTACCTAACAAAACAAAATTAGACTATCTCTTTCTTAATGACCTATAAACTATGCCTAATTGCCCATAGCGAGGTAAGTGCCTGGTGGCAATGATGAATCAAATACGGGTCCTGCTACTTTAAGGGGAAAAGATTAGGAGATCGATCAGGTAAAACTAAATGGTCAGGCATTATACACATGTATGTATAAAGGGATGACAGCAACTTGTGGATGATGCAAAGAAACATGTGTTAGTATATTCATGGAAGTCCTGAATATACAAAAAAACTGAGCCTGCTACATTGAATCAAAAGCAACCAATTATGCTTCCTGAATACATTACCATGTTACACATTGAATCATAGCTGGCTAGTAACAATTAACAGCTTGCTACTAGTATGCCTCAAGGACAAATGCATGGAGACTCTCTCATAAAACAGGGGCATGTGTACTGGTATAGTAAACAAACTATCAGCTAGTCAACACATGTACTTCAGTAGCTGGAATATAATCAAATCTTTGTTCTAATACAAAGATCTTATAAGAAACCTACCCACCTGTTAGAGCCAGACTGTGTGAGCATCCCGCAGCAACCATTACGACATTAGCATGTCTGGTTTTCAGCTTGGTGGGAGATAAAATGTCTCCTCTCCTGGTTCCACAAGGCTTCCCACTTCCCCACACGTACACTTCACCAGCACCTTCAGCAACAAACAAAAAACATTTGAAAACTCAGTGGGTTTTGTGAATTTCTTGATTTAGTTAGCAACAGACATGCATATAGAGGATAATGGAGACAGGAAATGAGATAACCTTTTCTGGGACCTTTGAACTAACTTTCTGTGACAATCAACTCTTGACTTTGAACTTAAACGGTTTTACTGGTAACCTGTTCTTCCTTTTCTTTCCTCCATTCACGTGCTGCTAGACTGTCCAACAACAATGGGGTTCCCTTTCTATAGCTGTCAATAATACTTCCTCATGAGTGGTAAAGAATAATTTATGATCTACTGTATGTCACATCTAGCAGGTGTCAAAACATGATGCTTTCTGAATCACTCAGAAAATTAACTTCATTGATCAGCAACATTTTTATTCATGACTTTCCAACATCTGCCAATTTGACATGTTCATAGAATATGAGGTGCTAGGAAATATCATGTTTAAAATCAACAATTTTTAGGTGTTGAATATGATGGCTTTTTTACGCATTAAATATGATGACTTACAATCTGTATTCTACAGCCTTTTCCAAGTCTAAAAACAATCTAACTAAAATAAAAATTGCACATAAGGCCGTACATAAATTGAGGGGTAAAGAATTATTTCAATATTCCAAATTTAAAATTGTAGTCATATGTTCTACATCTTTAGGACTCATATCATGTTCAATTCTATTCTCAACCAATGAAATATATTCTCTGGAGATTAAAGACCACATATTCTAAGCCCCACATGCAGGGAATACTAATGAAAGGCAGCAACAATCTTGCCATCTTTTTTTTCTTTTGTTGAAAGAACTTGAGAACATGACCTGCACTGCTAAACTACATTAGAGGCATGACAAGCAGAACCTATATGTGACAATGAAAATCATAATAAAAAAGCAAGATGACATAACAAATTTTGCCATCAATAACAGTATCTATTAAATCTAGGACTAACACACTTTAGAAATAAATGTAGTGGTAAAAAAATAAGATGACCTACCCGTGACAGCCAAGCTGTGGTATGACCCACAGGCTATACAACTCACACCTTCAAGGTCGTCTAGCATCTTTGGGCAGACCATGTCGCTTGGCTCCCCTGTCCCCAGCTGGCCGTTAGCATTGTTTCTGCACAAAACAAAAGGAGCCCAAAGGATACATAGGAGGTCTACATTGCTGATGAATCAGATCATAGGTAGGGTCTGATTCTTCAACATCTGGCCTGTGGACCAGCGGCAATCATCAGATGAAGAGGGTGCTCAGTTGTAGCAGGATGGCTTCCCATGTTCACCACAACAGCCTTGTACGGTACCAGCATGACATCCAGTGAACAGTGGAAAACCTCCGTTGTCCTAGGACTGGAGATCAGCTTGTCTTCTGCCGTTGTTGCCTTAACAAAGGATAGTTTCAGGGCTCCGTCGGCAGCGGTCAAGGTCACCTGCACATGTGGCGTCCACAATGGCCCAGACATCAAGCACTTACTTGTCCCATTTCATCCAAGTAAAATACAGCCCTCTGTGTCTACATCACCACAAAGCTGATTACAATTTACAGTTATATCCTCCAAAACACAACAGAAGTAAACACCATCAACAATACAGGTTAAGGCAGGAACTCGACCGTCCATACCACAAATGTTCCCGTGATGGGAAGAGAGGCCCTCTACCTAAAAGCCCAACAATCATGGCTGGCATGGGATTGCTAGAAACACAGATGGGCTCAGCTATTGTGTCAGGTTCAAGTTGTTTACCGAAATTATACATGGAATCATGGGTAATTGTCACATCTTATCATGACAAGGTAGGCATCCACCTGTATCCGCAGCTCCCAGTTCATTGTTATCTCCAAAAACTGCAGTGTCGGCACATAAATGTGCAGTGTACGACAAGCAAGATTAAAGCCTGTACTTCATCTTATAGAGAACAAATTTACCTCATCAGGACAAAGTGTTCCCCATGTCATTCTGTCAGCTTTACAATACTCGCAGACATAACAAGAAATATTTGGAGACATATGAATATACATTTAGACAAGTGGCTGCTATTATTACATATCAAGCATTCTATTATCAAAATCTAGAACACGACTTGATGAGATTTTGGGATTATATTAATTTCTATTCTTCTCCCAGTCCGGTAAACAACATCATCTGATTAGTATGCAGCACATCAGGCCTTTCTGGGAAAGCAGCCTCTGGGAAGTTACCACCTACTAATGCAATTATTCCACTTTCCTCAAATGGTTGTTGATTGGTTTGTGTGGCCTCCTGGGCAACAGTCATAATATGTACTCATCTACTCATTACTAACATAGTCATTGTGCTACAGGAGATGAGGAATGTAAGAGTACTGTGTGATTTAAATCCATAAAGTTCCCAAAACAGTGTTTAACAATAATCTCTCTTTTCTTTCTTCTTGTTTCGAAAATGAGGAAGGTATATAATATGTGGTAAGAAAAAGAATGGAGGAAAATAACTTATCTGCTTGTACATCTTTGCCTTCATTTTTACTTGTATTAATAACATAAACCTTTGGTAAACAAGCATGCTTAAAGCAACTTGTAGGGAAAACTTGTAATACAACAATTTTGCAGCAGGAGGGAAACAAAGGTTTTTACAGTTGCAGCAATATTAATGCTGCAGTACAACACATGCCCGGTATTTGTGGTGTCATGAATGATGATTCATTGTGAAAATTAAACCACCACCAGCATTTAAAGTTGTACAATGGGGTAGAGTCTTTACTTTATGAACATGAATAAAACTTACCCACACGTAGCAACCCGCCCCTCCTGTGTGAGGAACAGGGTATGTCTGTCTCCACAGGCAACCTGCACCACTCTTCTGTGTACAAACATCTCCAGGAGAGTGGGCTTCAGCTGAACGGAACAAAAGAAAGGTGTCCTGTACTGTCATGACAGTCCATCTGTGTTCCTATGGTATATTCCTTAACTTTGAGATACCATGATTCCATGTTTTAGGAAACATGTTCCTTAAACTTATCATAGCAAGAATAAAGGCAAAGATTCTGTAGCTTCTGACTTCAACATAACAATCGTCTATTGTGAATTGATCTACTTTTGCAGTGGTTTTATTTTGCAGGAAGGAGAAGGAAACTTTTGCAGTGTTTTAAATTTGCGATGAAAACAACTCTGTAGAACAGTAATAATACATGGAAATGCACATTCTCTGTGTCATGAATTCATGGGGAAGAGGTCACCACAAAAAGAAAACTATGGTACCTCAAAAAAGTTTCAAGACTTTGACCTGTGAAATTATCTCTTTAAACAGGCTTTGTAACAAACCATCCATTACCCAGGTACCCTCATGTCACTATTTCTGATTACACAGCTTGCAATGGCAATGATATGACATCTTGACATGACTGAATTTACTGACTGAATCTACAGTAGACTCACCTGGTTTTCCTTGTAGTTCTGTACTCTGAAGTTATAGGCCAGCTGTGCATAGTAATTGTTGCCAAAACTGTAACAGTGGCCATTGGTTAACCAGGCAATAGAATGCCTGCTGCCACAACTTATCCCTGCAACATCTGGAAGCTCCTGACTGTCTGTGAGACGGATCTTTGTTGGTCTGAGATGTGTCTCCTTGTCCCCACAGCCAAGCCTTATGGGCAAAATTGTCACAACACAATGATCAATACCTACAACAAGAGCTGTTCACTCTAAAGAATCCCTCTTGCATCCATGGAGAACACAGAGGTTCTTTACTTTATACATACACAGGTACCTGACATCGACAAGTTTTGACATCTCGAGTTTGGACGAAGCACCTGTTACAGAAATCCTTAGCCATAAAAGGAATACAAACCCTTAAACTGGTCAACTTAAAATATATGACCTATTATTGTCCTCCCTAATTCAAATTCATAAATCACAAGCATGTTTTCAATCTCATGGTGGAACAGGTGAATACTTGTACTTACTGTCCACTGTGTCCATTTCCCCAAGTATAGACTTCATTGTCAACTGTAACAAATCAAACAGCTTTCAGTAACAGTAAACGTCACGAGTATATGGAACAAGCTCATTTAGATGGATGTGTCAACAGTGCGCTTGCTCCATTCAAAATGTATGTGGCAAAGCACTAGTAAAATGTTAGTTACATACAATGTGCAAGGAAACAAAGAACCCTTGTCAAGCCTGCATAAAGGTCTATTGAACTAAATTAGAAGTATTCTGCAAGCCTTTTCTTGGATATAGTCATTGAACATTTAGAACTGTCTTAGCAACAAAAGTAAAGGATAACAATCATAGCCACACATGGAGAGCGGAAACCACAAAGAAATGCTGTTTACAAACATACAAAAAATTATGATGAAAACATAACCTCTTTGGGTGAGGTCACAAAAACAACCAAGCCACAACTGTTACATACCTGTTACAACAATAGAGTGGCTAGCCCCACAAGCCAGCAGCTTGACTCTAGCTCCATTCTTGGGTGGAAACTCTGCCACCAGTCCCTCTGTAGCAGCCACATCCCCCACCCTCCCATGTCCGTTCTGTCCAAACTCCCCACATCCCCATACCACGAGGCTGCCGTCCTCTACACATGAAGGTTCAATACTCTTTGTCTGGTCATCACCTCCATTTTCTTCTATATCAGTCAAGTCCATAGATCCTGAAAAACAGCAAAGTGGACTCCTGACTGTTTCCAACAGTCTGTGCAAAGCAAAGTATCAATATTTACAGTGCACCTCTTTGTAGCTAAGATCCAATCAGTTTATTACAACTGTTAAAGCAACGTAAACACGTTTCCACACAGCTTTCCTATTCTTATAACATAGATTATCTAAAACTTATAACTGTCAATTCACTCTATATACGTACCTCCTAACAGCTTGGATTCCAATATATCCATAGGATACTGCCTACACACTTAGGTCATGAAGGTCCACTATATTCAAGACTTAATCTAAAGGTATAGAACAAGTGTCTAAATGCTGTCACCTATCTACCAGTAGAAACTTGTACAAGTAAGATGACTGACTTGGCTTACAAATTTAACACACTACTGGAACTATATTGTTGGATGAAAAATGAGAATGAGAGTTTACTCACTGTGGAACTGTGACCTCACAGTGGGGTTAGGCAAACGTGCTTTCACTCCCTTTCACACTGTTTACCTACAGTCGCCCACCTTAACAACTCACAGCAACATAGTTATGACCATGGGTATTGTACAGTTCAATGGCTGACAGGATTACTTTCACGACAAAAAATAATGTCTATTGGGGGCACATAGCACCGTTTCTACAAGACAACTTTCTTTCAAATTTATACCAACAAAGGCAGGCTGAACATGGATTACATATCAAGTGTTTGATCTCATGTCTAGAGCATTTGAATCCTTAGTGTTTCTTGGCAACCCATTCTTCATAATGCACCCCTCAAATCACCTCTAACAAGGTGGCTTGGAACAAACAGTAGTCCATTATCAATACATGTGCTGTAGTAGTATAACGTTACAACATGGCAATTGTCAATTTTAACCTTTTCCCTGCTGCCTAACCCAAAAACAAACACAACTTTGTGCTAAACGAATACCTTGGAAGAATGAAGGTTAAAAGGAATGCAAAGTACATCAACTTACCAATAGCACAAGGTTACACATAGTTTACACATTACAATTTCTCCCAATTAACAGTTCAATAAAAGCCCATGGCAATCACTGAATAGTTATAATAAATCATTATGTTTAGCCAACAGTTCAATTATGGTCCTAAGGTTATGTCAATCGCTGTTTCTAGGTGTTACATAGCATTGTTGTAAATCTAAAAGCCTAGACTTGTTTGCATATCACACAGTTGTTAAAAAGAGCATTGTAACTGTACTGTGACATTGAAATAAATATGTTTCTATACAAGAGTTCAACTTAATTAACAAATACACAGATGACTTTCTCATCCATAGAGTAACAAGGGTAGAAATTGGAATTACATGGTCTGGATTCCATCTCTATGCATCATAGAAGTGGATGTAAACCTAACCAGGACAGCAGCAAGGTCAGGCATTACAGAGCATGTTGGTAATCAAATGGACTAAGGAATTTCCATCCTGGTACATAAAGTCCAACACAGACATTCTTAAGAAAATCATTCTTAAACCATTGTCCTGCGGAACCTATATATATACAGTATATATATATATATATATATGAGTTACACATACAGTACAATCTACAGTACATGTATATATCGCCCTGTATATTTACGTTTTGGGGGTATTTCTCGTGCAACGCATCACACCGCAGCGAAACGCAACGAATGCAGAAGTAACTACGCCACCGCAGGGCAAAAGAAGTCAAGGGTGTGTGAACTGATTGAGACATCAAATAATTGGAAACATGGTTTAAAAAATGTCAGCAGGACAAGGGTTAACATACCTTTCCTTGAGCTACATCTTCAAAGGAGAGTCCTTTCAAGACAAGAAGGGTAGAAGGCAAACTACAGGCCAGAAATGTACAGGCAAAAGGCTTGATCCAACGAAATGTGTATCTTTCAACTTACTTCTTCAATTTCTGTGTTGTATTCACAATATCCTTACAAGTCTATAATATCGATATGCAACAATTGATCATGTTAGTAGAAGGATGTATAAACAGGATATGAATTCACAAGTCATAGCCCCTTCTTTCATAGTTTGCACCTCATATACAACAGTATCTATATACATTTGTACAACAAGATCTTGCTGGGCATAAGTATCAAATTGTTGCAATATGACAGCATCTATTTCAAACTATACTTCCACACTATGAGGTCTATGGACTTATAGAGAGGAGACTTATGAGCAAAATTTGTAAGTACAGTACATACAACAGGAAGTCTAACCTTTCATCAGAATAGAGTCATCTTCCCCATATGCATCACAGAGATAGCAGCACTGCAACACATCACTATAAAACACAAGGTGTACACAATGAGACACATTTTTATCAAAAGACTAAATGAGAACTCAATGCCACATACATTCACATTCATGTCATAAAATGTGTGAGTGGCTTGCAGTTTTAAGTGAAACTGTAACAATATTACTATAGGGTAAAATGTATGTTGATAATTGTATAACGGTGTTGTGCGTTAACTTCAGTCCAAGTCCAAAGGCAGCCCTTTAAAAATTGTCAATACAAGTAAATCCGGTAGGAAAAACATTCTCACCAGAAACTCCAGTTCAAATGACTCCTCTCAATCCAAATCACTTGTTCTACAATGCAAGTCACAGCTGTGACAATAACAGCCTTGTCTGATCACCACTTCAACAATGAATAGAAAGTAGAAACAGGTGTGCTGGATGTCCTTAGGTACACTTGAAGTCATGCCAAATGCACATGTCAAGTGATAAGCAAGGGTGCTAAAACGTAGAAACTTCTTCAGAGTTAAAGATGTGTTTGCAAGCTTGGCCAGATGCCCAACTAATCACATATCTACATACTGTCAATGTCGGAACATGAACAGGGGGTTTCTAAAACCTTAGTAGCATCTTTGCTGGTGCATGGTGATAGCTCCTCTACTTTTGCAAAGACAGTTAGAGAAAGTTGCATGTGGATAAAACATACCAAACTATGAAAACTGCAAGAGAAAAGCTAGTGACTGCCTGAAATAAACCTGTAATCTGTACTTCGAAGTAATGTTGTTTTGCAATAAAGTGTGTGAGAACGCAAGGCACAGCCACAACGACATAGAAATTCAAAACAATGCCGCCATTTTTTCGCTTGCATAATTTACATGGGGTGCCATGACAGACGACAAAAACAAGCCGAGTCATGACGCGACAGAAAACTTTTTACGGGCACTTTTAAGTCATGAAATATACAGTAGAGCATGTTAACAGCTACATACTGCTTCTAAGTCTGTGGCTACGATGAAACAACTCCTACAGAGTCTCAAGAAAGTGTCGAAAATATGATCTTTCATGCGACCTACCGTCTGAATTAAATAGGGCAAAGATGGCGCGGAATGATAGCAGAGCAACGTACAGCTACCACAGTGAACGTCCAATACAGCAAGAAATAAAAAAAATGCTACATCCTGGTCTAATTTAAATATCTTCATATTAAAAGCAGGTTTGCTCCTGTTAATTCAACTATAAGGCCAAGGGTATCATGGCTAGACGTATTTCATTTAACAGTTCAGTCAACGCGTTTCTATGTTATCAGGAGCCAAAGTTAGGGACATTTCATTTTTACTCTGTCGTGTGGAATGGGTGCCTTCTTTTTTCAAAAGGAAAAGTTGCAAATATCTCTGATGGAATCAGTGCCGTAGAGAATTTTTTCACCGCAGATAGAATATACCAAATGCTATGCATAACTGTCGACAGATATATTTGATTTTGGTCATCAAACAACTTGTTATCTTTCGGGTTCCAGAGCACCCCCTATTATGCGTGGTATGGTCGTTTGAACTGGCGGCAACTTTGATCTCTGACTGAGCTGATTGGTGTGGGAGACCGTGACTGATGTTACTCCAGCCGTGGTTCTGATGCTGACAACTTTGAAAACGCTGATCAATCACATTTTCGTCTGGTCTCCAGTCTCTAACGCGACTGAGTGCGCCTGAGTGTACATTAAATTAAACTTTTTGTAAAGTCCGAATTTACAAACAAAATTCTGTTTTTCCATTTCTTTTATCTCTCATTCGTGTAACTTATTAGTGTGAATCATAGTCTCCAAGGTCGATGTTGTATTCAACCTTTGACTCTGCACATGACGTATGATAAGTCAAGTTTATAGAGTTTGACCTATATTTACCTCTGAAGAATAGAGTCAATGCCCCGCGTTCCCGGGTCTGTGTTTCCGGGGTGGCCTGGCACCCAGCCTTGTTCAGGGTAGTCCATTGCAGGGCAAACCAATGGACTATGCTAAACAATTAACATGGCCATGGTTGATTTTGGTGTTTAACAATATATAAATACAGCTCTGTAGTAAATATGTGCAATATAAATAATGCTATTGTTGATGATATGGAATAGATATGTCATGTGGTCTGAAACGCCTAATCACAGACTGATAAAGGCATTTTTTTTAACTCTGTGGTCAAAAACAGAATGCGGACAATCTCCAAGGCCACATTTCTGATCTGTTCGTTGGAAGGGTTACCGTATTCGTCAGAAAAATGGGGCAAACAGAAAATTTGACGACACTCCACTCTCAATGTACGTAAATAAATAAATAAACATATCTGTATCTGGAAATTATGCCATTGTAAACTTGACGCTATGGTTGAGCCTGAGGACATGTCGAATGTGTACCATATCTACGGGTTTTGCCACAACGCAAAGACGGAAATGGTCTTCCTGCGTAATGCCACATGTCTGGTGATATTTGCCATCATTCTATCGAACGATCTTGATGGCACAACCTCCCCGGTATCACCATCTTATCTACATCCAAATTGACCATTATGAGATGTCAAAGGTGGCTCCCCTGGGAAAACAAGTGACTGCCCCCGTTTGCTAGTCAATCATAGGTTAATTTTAGGCCATCGTCGATCATGTGGGGTGGGACTCCGATGTCACACGTGTAGCGCTCAATGTCACTTCAGGGGGGGTTAATGTCACCCAGGGGAAGCATACATTGCCCTCAAGGTCCTCTCCGGTGGCCCTGGGGATCTGGAGGATCTGGTATGCATATTATAGCAGCACGAGACTCCTCCAGAAGGCGGGAAAACAAGGCAGTCTCCATTCCGTGACAGACAGGGTCACAGCTAACTAGACCCCACATCCTACACCTTTGACATCACAGGCGTTCTGAACTGTTACGCGTGGTTATGCCTGACTTAGTCAATCGCGTCACCCCTGAAGGTTCATACACTATTGTAGTTATTCTATACAAAGCGTTCTAAAAGAGGGGAAATGCTTTCTTGTGTGGGGAGGGGGTAAGGCCGAACGTGCAGGAAAACCTTAATTGCAAGACCTTTGCTTTCCATGCAGCATTTATACATGGATCCCCGGATAATGAGACCTGGTAAAATTCACCAAAGTAATGTTAGTGTCACTATTTCCCAGTATTGCGAGTGAACTCATTGATGATGTGACAAGATATACAATGGATTTTATAGAGGAGAGGAAGAAAATCAGGCTACTTAGAAATCAGTAGATAAGTTGTTGTACAGTCAAGTCAGAGAATAAGTAAAAGAAACGAACGTGTCTACAACTAGGTGCGTTACGTTTTGCTCTCAGGGCAACTTCAAAACCTTTGCATTTTCTCTGACTTTCCATCGGCTTTACTTTCAGCACCAAGGACAGACACCCCACAGGAATCTTATACTGCACTTCCTGTAATGAATGACGGGTGGATCTCGTTATGGATGAGTTGCACGGGAAATTGCAGTCCGGTCCCACCGTATCACGATGTTTCAACCCGGAGCACGCAAAGCTTATCCGAATTTCCTCCACATCAGCATCAGCTGTGGAAACAGGGACCGGAATGCACAACGTCCTGTTTGAAGAACCTGAAAACCCTCTGTAGGCGCCTTTTGCATATGGAGAGATTACTATATAGTTGTGTAATAATCTACTAACTTTCATACCGCAAGGGAGGTCGAGGTACTCGTAGTCTTTACACTGACAGAATATCTCTTAAATTACCGTTCTGACTGCAAAAGTGAATTCGCTCTCCCCGTGGGTGACATTACCTTCGTTGCACTTTCAGTTCCTACTGTCACCCTCTGTATGAGAGTTCGATCTTAATTTTTGTGATTCTACTTTTTATCGTCTATGTTAACTTTATGACCGGAATTTGTAATTTGGGTGTGATGGCTTCCCGAGTCCCGACTTGGGCCAAGTAGGATCGTTTACTTGATCACGTGACTTGTAGGTAAGAGAGAGTTCCCAAGCTGTTTTTCATTATTCACTCGAAAAACTCGTCCTGAAAAATTCATGGCACACGTCTCAGCCGATTTGTACCAAGGATGCATTTTCGTATTTGCGGACGTTAGCCTTCTTCATTTCCTGATAATTTGTAGTATTTTATCCCCCATTTGTTCCGTCCAAGGAGTCCCAGAGGAAGACTGATCTGGCTGTCCTCCTTACTTAAATGGTTAAAACTAATGGACCTG